AGTTGGGTATGTGCGTAACACACTACTCCTCTGGAATCCACCCAACAGAAACACAGCAACACTTTCATCGGATGCACCAAGTCAGTCCTTGCCAGAGATTTCGCTATTCACGCACATGTCTCCAGCTTCCTTTTCCAATCAGGTTATTGTATACAAACTGTTTGTCATCACAACCTATGAATTAATCCTTTTTATGTAGATGGGCGAGAAGAGATATGGCTGTGGAAACACGTCTTGCTTTGCTCTGTTCTGTCAAAACACAAGGAAACTACGCGCCGTTTCGAAATGCATCCAAGTTGCTTTGTGTGGCAGAAATCAGTCAAAGTTTAAACACTTGGTCTCCCAGAAATCTCCTCAGTGTAAATCCATGGATTACCATTATCCGCTAAATCACTGATGAAGTCATTCGCATTGTCGAAAAACCGTCCAAATTGAAGTTTACCTTATGAACAGCTTATGTCCTAAGAGCAAGAGTAGTACCTAGATAAATGCCTGTCTACAGTTGCAACACGGAGCTCTTTTTTTTTCAACTCCATTCGCCACGACGTGACAAAGCTGCCGCCTTTCTTTCGCCACGCTGGATAGAAACCCCAAGCATAAATTAAACTAAGTAAAGCCTATTTTGAGGTTGTATTGACTCTTAGTGCATCTGCACTATCGCTAGTAAATATTACTAGTTATGAAAGAAAAATCCACACACTCCAAAGTGTGTTTCTGCAATCTATGACATGCGGACACAAACTTGTGCAATCATCCAATACAAATGGAAAAGTCAAATGACACACACACACACACACACGCAAACGCTGAATGGAATCAACTTACCGAACTTGGACAGACTATTAATTGGTTCGGTCATTCGGATAACCTCATAGTAGAGTTCGTCATACGTGCTTGGACTCAGCAGGAAACAATCGCCGAAACTGATAAAAAAATTGAAAATCCCCACTACCTAGCAGGGAAAACAGCTGCCAGGTTGTTTTGTCTTGAAGACGACACCGACAAAATATTGAATATGAACGGAAAATTACACCAAAATGTACCTTCAGGAGTGTAGTGAATGATTCTCCACAAAGTGGCGGACCGCCTGATTTAATAACAAAATTCATGAGGTCAAAAAGAGCTAAATAGGAGAAAGAAAGACGAGCACATGAAGAAACATAATGCATGAGGTAGAGGAGGGCAAGTCTTACGAAAATTACCTTTCCAGAGCTGACCCCAATCATAGTCAAGACGGATGTTGTGTTCTTTTTGGTGGGATAACAAGTGAAAGCATATGTCCAAACAATGTCTGGCAAAAAAAGATGAATCAATAAAGAGTGAGCCTTCACTCGTAAACCTTCATAATTAACGCCAACAGCCTAATCTAATGATTGTAAAAAGGCAAAACCAAGACTCAAGCCTTAGACAATGAACGACGACTAAGTCAGGTTGAAGTAAAATTTCCTGGACTGAACGAACTTACTTTATTTTGTGCACATATGTCTGGGTTCTTAAAAGATTACCAGATTATGAGAGGCATTAAATCGACAAAAGCCGACTCACCCGTGGATTTCATGAGGAAAGGATTTCATTAAGTGTGTGGAGAAGAATTCAATCAGGAGATCTGAAAACAGAAATTAACAACGAGAACCGACATGATTCAATACCCAAAGCAAGAACAATCCCATGACTAGAGGCAACATTGAAGAAGATTTAGCCGCATTTTCAACATGGCTCGGATTGCATTCAAATAGGACACAATACCCTGTAGTAACCACATCGTCAAAATAAACTACTTTGTGGGAGGCGGCAAATCAAAGCCACGTTATATTCTGGAAAGATTTACTTTTACATAAGAGACTATCAGCAAAAGCGCTAATGAATGCTTTTAGCATTCTACGGCAAGGAATCAAACGTCAGTTTAAGGAGCCACACGAGTGTGCGCCTACGTACATGCGGCTTATGCGTTCACTTTTAAAAAAGCAGGTTCAACATGAAGACACGACCTTAGAAAGGAACTAGAAACCGGGAAATTACATTTTACATTGCTCAAAGATGATGCAATATAGTTTCTCCAAAATTACTCCATGAAAATATTGACAATATATCGATTCTAGGTGAAGAGCATTGGCAGAGAATCAGGAATTAAAGTATGTGCACACAATACACACTAATCAGATTGGTAACATGTGTTTTTATGTTTCCAGTACTTAAATGTGTGCGTTTCAGTGCTGTAGGGATACGTGTTGATTCATGTCCAATAACCCAGTCCTCGCAGCTTCCAACACACGTCCCCCCTTTCCACGACCTGCCCGTCAGTCACGTGAGGCCACTGGTTCATTAACCACTCTGCATGTCCCACCACCACCCGCTTTAGTCATGTGATCTCACAGACACCTGTGTTTATTTTTGCACGTGTCCACCCAACCGTAATTGCACTCAACACAACTTGGTTGAGCTGTCTAGTAAGCGGTTGTGTCTTCTTCACTCCGGTCTTCTTTATTTTCGCGAGAACACAGGGTAATGCATTCGGCGCAGATTGTCGCAGTGGCCCCGGCGTGGCTCAAGACAACATGCCGGGGCCCTCAACAGTGCGTTTTAGTGAAGGCCGACTTCTCACAACACACCTTTTTTTAGGATAGTTCCCACAGTTTGAGGCCTGTCGCGAAATGCAAACGTAAAAGGTGAACGTTCTGGGGCACTGTCAGCCCTCGAAGACCGAACACATCTAGCATGTTAACACAGACACACGACGTTCAACTGACCCTTGCAGTATTACAGGAGATTGCAAGGTCAGTAAATCGGTTAAAATGCGTGGGGTTTCGTCAAAGTGTAACCACACTAGAACTTAGTCGGACCTTTACTCTCGTTACCGCGAATAGCATTTGTCTTGTTGTGGTGGCTGCTTCAAAATACCAAGTGTGTTATAAAACCAAGATTGGGAGCACTGGGGGAGCTAGTGGTTAAATGGTGGAGCAGTTGTACATGTTCTTGATAAGTAGATTGGCATAATTACATCGTCACTAATGAGACAATGCTTCCTAGAAGTGGTGTTAGTGGCAGAAACACTTTCGATTTCGTGGCACGCTCTGTGTGAATCGGCGGAAGCACAGAATAAAAAGGCATTATAACTGCAAATTACTAAGCTCTAATGAAAATGATTAAATAAACACACACCCAGGAGAACAGCAGCCATAGTATTAGCAGAACTGCGATCGAGAAGTGAGACACTGGACTTGCGGTGGCGAAGGTTCTGAAAGTTCCAACGTGCATTGAGATGCCCGTGCAGTAGGAAGGGTGGCGCAGAAGTTACAAATGGGATGCTCGACACCACAAGACAACGCTAATTAACCTGCCCCCCTGCCATCCACAAAAGTTTGGCTTCGATTTGGTCAAAATCGGTGAAATCATAAGATCAGACAATTACAATGAAATACGTAGGTAAATGCACTGCCAAATAGAGCACCACATAAAAAGCGAAACTTACGGCCCGATGTAGTTGGATAGTAAAGTGTATGTTATATTCGTGGAGAAAACAGCACACCGATAGATCCTAGAAACGATTAAATCAAGGGTTAAAGGCACATGGAGTTAAAATGAAGGAAACTGCCACCATAGCGTACTTTGGTTGCCTGAGATATTATTTTGAAGCAGAGATTACATGTGTTCATGCGGGCAGGATCTAAAACAAGGGCAAACAATTGACAAGGCCAAGAGGAGTCGAACAGGCACACGCTCCCCCCGAACGAACGTCACATTAAAATCCCCTCCTGTTCGCAAGTTGTGCATGAAAATAAGTGGGTCGCCTTCGGGTCAAAGCAGGCAAACTAACTTTCCATCGAACCCTGCTGCCACACCTGTTGACAGTCCTGCGAAATGCGGCACGCATCTCCAGTGACGCTGTTTCTGCCTGACTCGTGCATAGAGCCACGCATTTGAAGCGACCCAGCACCCATTAGCAGACATCCCTGTGTGTGGGGGGAGGGTTAATGTGCTAAAGCCGATTCTGCATTGCGACCCGGGTCGGGCGGCTTTCTCTGCTGGTTGGGTAAAGCGCATTCTTGAGAAGTTGACAAACTTTCAAAACCGCTTATATCGGGCGAGTGGACGTCCGAGTTGACCCCAGGTCTATGGGAGCGTCCTGCTGAGTTGTCCTAGTTTTCTCCCTTCGATACCACTAATGCACAGCCCCAGTAATAGCATTTTTAAGGTGGAGTAAGCGCGAAGCGAAAAAAGAGGTGCAGGCGAGTGTCATTATATGAAATATATGCGTTAATAAAGTTGATCTAAGTTGATTTTAGAAAAATGGCGGATAAGCCGTTCAAAGACTAGAAAATGGAGACAAAGAAAGGGATACTTAAGGAATCGGTTGCCACCAGAAGGAAACACTGGACGGTTTAAGAAGAGGTAAAAGGGAATGACATCTACGCTAGTATAGTCCATCAGGAGAATCCATTGTTAAAACTTAGGCACAGGTTACGAAAATCACTAATTTCTATTTGAGGTAAGCATACACAAATTAACCTGGATACCCATAATTTTGATATATATCAACTTGGAGGCCGATGGGACAGGAGAAATCACGGCACACATGCATATCCAAACTAGTAAGATAGAACTTACTGGTGTGAATACCCTGCATAACCACGGAGGCAAACTCAATGAGGTCGGCAAGAAGGTTTCGTGGATCCAGTGGGAGTGAAGGAGGAGGGTAGTTCTCAATGTCTGGGTCATTTTTAAAACCCGACAATTTAACAATAGAAGACTCTAAACGTAAAACAGATAGTCACGACAAATTTTGATGAACCCTCTGATGATAATGCCCCATGCTGGTTGAGACAGGCCCTCGGAGGAGCACTCGTGATTCCGTAAAACCCTTCTGCAGGAGTCGAGTGTTGTGAGATCAACTACGTTAATATTTGCCAATGATATTAGATGAACTTCCGCTTATAGCTCTGACTTAAAATTGCTGACTAGTACAATCTAAAATTGGTCTAATGGCAATGATTAGTGCTACAAATCAGACAGCTCATTGAATAAAATGGGCACTACTTTGGGTTTTAAATAGTGATGGTTCAAAAGGGCTTACATCGATCCAAGCACTCAGCTAGGGAAAGTCAAATGTAAACACAGCTGCACAGGTTAGACGATACAACAACAACAGCGGGAGAACCAACCATTGTTTAGTCCCATTATGTTGTCAGGGTAGGAGCCATGGTGGGCATGTGAGCAGGAAAGCAAGAGAGGGAACCGTGGATTGTGTAGGGTAATTATATAAAGACACAACAGCAACCCATCGTGTACACTAAAGCGGAAGCAAAAATAGAATACTTAATGGCGAGTCTTTAATAACACCGATGTAGTGAAACATATGATGGACATTTCCATACACAGAGCGAATTCTTTACACGACATACATAACTCAAATCTTAACGTGTACGTAAAATGTTTGTTTTGGACTACCATGGGAAAAGTCACATTAGCAGGACTTGCTTAATTACACGTTAATCTTTATATTTACTAAATTTCATGTAAGCTACATGCAAAAGGCTAGATTTGAGTTGTGGTTGACACTTCAGTTGAGCGACTCCTATTTAAGGCCCGCGGTTCACTTGTGCAGCGGCAAACGAGAATAACAAAATCCACTTTCCAAGACGGGTGTGAGGTCCGAGATTCGGGATAGGAGCACGTGGAGAGCTGCATTACACCAGAGACTATGATGAGTACAACATAAAATCCTACTTCTATGAGTTGTACACGCGGACGGTATCCCCTACATGGGTTACCAAGCCCCATGATATGGACGTGAGGCTGCGCTACCCACCATTGGCGGAGAATTAAGCATGGTTTGGAGCTAATGTGAAAAAAAAAACAGCAAAACTCACCTGAAATTTTGCTTTTGGCAATCAGCCTTCCGGGTGCCTAACTGAATGGAAGAGACGTGAGGTTAACAAACGAATAGCGTCACACTTCAGCCAAAACAGCTCAATAGGAGGAGAAATCGAACCGTTTAAGTCAAAACCTAACAATTGTGTGGAAGGGTACCTCAAGAGCCTAAACACTGCTATCTTTTTTAAATGCTTTAAGACTCAGCACCTTATTTAATACGATGACGTGCAATCACAGTAGTAATAAATTACGAGTGCTTTAGACAGTCATAAATCATAATTTTAAAACATTTGTGACACCACAAATTTCGATCACACGTAACTGGTGACCTCCGTTCGCTAACCTTTACTTGCTGACATCCTCTGCACCCCCACACATTGAACTCAATGTCTACGTACTGAGATCATTCATTTCGCCAGTGACCGAACGAGTGTGCAGCTTTAGTGGCATCTGCCTCACAAGCTTTCTACACTGCGCTTGAAAATCAACCACAGGGCAGTGTAGTATTTCCCCGCAAACAGGAGTGTGGAATACCAACATTGTGTGATAAGATAAATTAGGATGCTCGCTTGTGTATTGAAAATCAAAATCTGGAGTCCGCATAACTCACAAGGTTTGATATCGAGGAAAAAAATCCCCCAGAGGCACGAAGATATTCATTGTACTTTCTATGCGGATTAAAAATAAATTATTGAAACAGTTGGACGACACACAATGAGGTCTCACAATTGACTGACATACCTTGTTAAATCTGAGACTGAAAACGATATTACCGCGGAGATACTCTAGGGATAGACGTCGAACAGTGCATCCAACTTACATTAAGCAAAAGTTCATCCTTCATCTTAGCAAGTTTAAGTAGGAAAGGGTTTTCCTTCTAGAAAAAAAAACAAAACAATAAAGCGTAAAATGAAAACGTTGCTTGTTTGTTTAAGCAAACCAGGTGCCTTTGTGCAACCGGGCGTGACACATTTGGTCACAGCAGAAACGAGTCCTGCCACACTACCCAGGCCAAAATTCAACCATGTGCACAGACAATTTTGTTTTCTATCTAGTTAGTCTACCACTAAGAAAAAAAACCTAAAATGCTATGACCCTCGAATTTTATTACTGATTACCATAAGTGGTGAATGCATTACAATTCAATGTGTTCCGCATGCTTTGCACACATCAAGTGGAAATCAGATACTACGATGTCAGGACAATGTGGTGAATGCACGTGAGGCCTTGAATTGCCCTGAGGGATATGATTCCCATGGAAATTGCTATTCTGGTCTCTCTACCTTGTTTACTTCCACCATCGACGTAAGGTGCTGACAGTGAACATCAGACTTTGTCATTCCATTCCTTGACGGAGGTTCACAAACAAGACCCTC